GTCAGTTGAGTTAAAAAGATTCATCGATCAGAGGATTAACCGATAATACGAAGATCGATTAATCACTGCTATTTTACTCAATGGATTTTGTGTAGGCTGACTAAAGCAGATGGAATACAGCTATATCTTGACGGAAAGTGGCTGTGTATAAGCAACCTACTTTCTTCAAAGGATTAGGCGGCACTACGTGGATTGATTGCTCTTTGTAATTGAATGATTTTTTAAAACAAAGAACCGTGGACTACATGAATACATTTGTCACGTGTGCCATTTCAGTTGACCAATGACGCTTTCTGCTAACCTGTGCAAAACACCATCATGTCGGAAAGTTCAAGTAAAATCGCCAAATCGTCATATCATCATGAAACACCTTAAACAAAGTAACCAGTGAGAAACAAACACTGAGTTGTTAATCCCCAAGCGCTATATATACTATTATAAAAGCTGAGAAGATTCCACGTTTGGGAGATATTGTTTGGGAACCATGTTGTATAATGTTATATGGATTTAGAAAATGATTATTCCATTCACAGCTCGTTATGAACGTTATGAATGCAAACACGCCAATATCGTGCAAAGCGTTTAAAACGATGTGCACATGAATATGGTCAAAATTTACAGTGAAACGTGTCAGTGTGTTGCTGTACAATAAAAAGCAAGCTGGTAAGAAGCTGGAACAAGAGAAAAAGCATTGTGGATTCACGCGATATTAATGAGGTTGACTTGATGGAGAGTAGGGTTCTTTTGCCAATCTCATAACAAAATCATAGGGTAGACATCACCACCTGCCCCCTACCTTCAGGAATTCCTCAACTGATGCAGCTCTCAGTAACCCATGCACAGGGATGGCGCCTACAAACCAAGAACTGTCCTGGTGAATCTGTGCAAGGGTCGTAGTTCTGTCCCTGGATGCGTCTGAGACAACAGGACCACCCTACTCACGAAGTGCCGGTGACACATGGATAATTCACTGCACTTAAATGTATATACTCTTCTACTCCTCCATAGGAGATTACAAGAACTTAGATCATGGATAGGCAGTTACTCGCGTGATTTAAGAGTCAATAGAGCGGCAGAGGCTGTAGAACCCCTCGATCAGCACAGACTGGTACAGCTGGGGGTCATCTTCCTGCAGGGTGACTGGGGGCTGGCAGGACAGGATGCATGATACTAAGTCTGCGTCAAATCTTGTGTGGGGACTGACACTCAGCTCAGTTGGGTTGATACTGGCGATTTTGCACCACAGAGTGTCTCTCGCAGTCTCGTCAGCCACACAACCACATACAATATGTCTCAACTGGTCGTTGTGATCACAGCCACAATCTGGACAGGTACCAGGAACTTTGTCTGGGCGCCATGCAGAACACATTAGGAATGCGCACTTCTTCAGTCTTGGCAAGGTCTTTGCAATCTTCCAGGCTGGATGAGCTTCGACGGAATAAATGAATAGTCAGGTCTGGATCTGATGACGTCTTCCACGAAGGTAAAACCGATGAGTCTGTAGGAAGGAATGCAGGTGAGGCAGCAGATTATTATGTTCAAGAATCTGGCATACATCCGGAAGGAATCCTTGTGGATGTCCTGTCCACTTGATCTTGAAGGCATGAAGTTTGTTGAGGAAAACCTGGTGTGCAAGGAGATGGTGTTGGGTATTGCAGAAGATACCAAAGAAGAAGAACAACTTTCTCATATGTATTGCTGCTTCCAAAGGGCTCCACCCTATCAAAGAGTTACAAATGTCTGATCTTGTTGATCTTGGTAAGCCTTGACACACTTTTAGGTAGAAACGCCACAACCGAATAGGGCCCTATGAATGCTTACAGTCCTTACGAGGTTTGCACGAGTGATGGGATTCAGGCCTTTGCAGTACAAAGCTAGACTTCATCAGCATCATCGTTTAAGATTTCATTTTGGAGCTTGCATTGACCGTCCTTGAATTGTGAGTTAAGAGTCACATCAACATGCTTGAGTGAGTCTGAGATTGGTATTTGATTTCCAGAGGATTATGTTGCACTCCGTCTTTTTTGATTAACCAAATAGCATTACGTTGCTCTTGACAGGTGAGAAGGTGAATCTCCATTGTTTGCTGAAAGTCTCACAAAGATCGACTATGTCCTGAAGATAGGATGTGATTGGGCTGATGAGACAGATGTCGTCAGCTTGTGTCGGTGCTGCAATATGGAGGTCTAACACCATTGCTCCCTTCTTTGTCGAGTCCAGGAGATCATTGATGTAAACAAGGTATAATTGTGCGGAGAGTACACTCCCTTGACTCACCCCCCTTCCAAGAGTAAACCACTCTGATATAGTTCCATTGACCATTACACTGCTCGTCATGCCTTTGTATGTGTTGTCCAAAGCCTCCCATACGGGTCCAGGTATATCCACACGTCGTCATATGAGCGAAATATTCTCAAGCACGACGTTAAACCCAATTTCAACTCACCTCACCCCAGGTATATCCTGCTGGTTCAGTTTCCAAAGTAGCCCTTTGATTGGTTGTCTCTTTGTTATGGCCTTTATGAATAGGGACAATTATTCCCCTTTTCCATGGTTGTGGTGTGTATCCTGTTGTGAGAATCCTGTTAAAGAGCTCCGAAAGAAAGTATACAAGTAAGGTCCTCCATATTACAGGTGTTCGTACGAGCAGAGACCATCTATTATATGGCCTTTGGTACGAGATTCCGTCGATGCCTGCAGCTTTGTTATTCTTAAGTTGTCTACATATGCTCTCTATCTCATTGCTTGATGTCATAAGTTCCTTCAGTTCATATTGAGTAGAGTGAATCTCATCTCTAAGATGCCGAACCTTCTCCATTATCTCTTCTTTAAAGGCGTTGTCAAAGCTGTCGTCCAGATTTGAGCAGAACACAGATTTCATGTGGTCAGCAATGGCGTTGCATACCTCCCAAGGCTAGAGCGGTCACAGGGAAAATTGTCTGTTTCAACCGGAGTGGAGTAGTATCATGCATGTGGCTGCTGTGGACACTAAAATGGCATCACAAATTTAACGCACGTGTTTAATTGCGTCCTCTGATGCAAGCAGCAGTTCAAATAAGACATCCCCACAGCCTCTTACTGTGAAGCATATTGAATTTTATAGCTTGAACTAACGTTTTATGAAGCAATACGGTGAATGAGGTTTAATGTGGTTCAATTAGTGCAGGTATACAGCAGGGTGCCAACTCAATTGTGAGCCTAGGGTTTTCATTGAAGGTCATGGACCCCTGATATCCCAAATGCATCATGATTGGGTCTGCTACAGTACACAACAATGATATATCTGCCAGGTGAATAACTCACTGTTCCGTATGTCGGTGTCGGTCATACTTGGTTGGTTTGTTGTTTAACGTTGCACTCAGCAATATCCCAACTATATAGCGACAGTCGTAAAATAATCCAGACTGGACCAGACAATCCAGTGATCAATAGCATGATCATCAATCTACACACAGGGATACCATGACGTGTCTACCAAGTCAGCGAGCCTGACCACCCGATCCTGTTAGTCGCCTCTTACAAGCATGGGTTACTGAAGACCAATTCTAACCGGGATCTTCATGGTGTCGGCAATACCACATTGTGACAAGACATACCAGTGGTTGAAAGTAGGAGCAAGGACCAACCTTTTGGGTTTTTCATTTCATGTAATCAGCCAAGCAGTGTACCGATTACTGAGGGCAAATTCTAACACTAAAATGATATGATCTGAATCCCAATATTCACCTGTTGTGTAAATTGGGTCACATTGCTTCAGTACCAGGTTAACAGTGTAGAGACCCTTTAATCCGCAGGCATGAACAAGTCTTCATCAATCCAGTCATTGGGGCAAGTGATGAGATCAGCTAGTCAGGTTCACTATCTTGGTTGATGCATGTTATCATATCCCAATATTTTAGATTGATGATCATGATGTCAGTCACCAGATTGTCTGGTCCAGGCTTAATTACAGCTGGAGTCTTGTAGCAATCAACAAACACTCCTCAGTACCCAAACACATTCCCCTCTTGACAGCCATCACACAAGTATGTATTTGTGATCAGTACCCAAACACATTCCCCTCTTGACAGCCATCACACAAGTATGTATTTGTGATCAGTACCCAAACACATTCCCCTCTTGACAGCCATCACACAAGTATGTATTTGTGATCAGTACCCAAACACATTCCCCTCTTGACAGCCATCACACAAGTATGTATTTGTGATCAGTACCCAAACACATTCCCCTCTTGACAGCCATCACACAAGTATGTATTTGTGATCAGTACCCAAACACATTCCCCTCTTGACAGCCATCACACAAGTATGTATTTGTGAGGGATGCACACATCTGCACTTGATTGATGAAGTTTACAGAATGTAGGTGGCAGCACTATTACAGTAGCATGCAGCCTGGATGCAGCCAGGACAACCATGATGGACAGAGTGGGGACACATCACCAGGAAGGAGGGCCATCTCAGCTGTTCTTCCCCAGTAGGACGCTGCAACCCTACAACTGCAACCTTACAAAGTATAGCCTGTTTGGATCAAAATGTGACCGATGAATCACAATCTAACTCCAACCCTTGAGGCTGTTCCTGCAACAGTAATACTGCTACTTTACTCTCATAAAACTTCACACGAAAATCAAAACAAAATAATGCATGAAACTTTTTTCCAGAATTAGCCTGATGTTTTCATTACATTCTGTGTTGAGATGAATGTTTGATCATGAACACATTAGATTGTGATTCATCGGTATCACTTTGACCCAAACAGACTGCAGCATACCGGTAAGTAGAAATTTACGCTTAACATGTTCCTATACTTCACAGGGCATCTTGTAAGGATGCCACTGAAATGACTGAAAATGTTTAATACCTTAGTAAACGCAAGACAAAGTTAGTCAGGCAGGCATGTTAGTATCAGTTTCTGTCCTGGCTTTGTTTCGACATGACATGATTATAGAAACAAGGTTCATACTTGAGTATGTGTGTAAATACAAGAGAATCAGAAAAGTTTCTTCACATATTTTATTGTTTTGTGACCATCTTGTAATCATGATGCAATCTGTCTGGGAGTTGCCAAATCCCAGACAGATCAAAGATGTTTCTTACATAACACTGGCCTCAGCAATATTCCTGCTGTATGCTGCTGGCCTGTATATATTGAGTCAGGATCAGACATGATGTGGTAAGCACTGATCCCATGAGGACACAATAACTGGCCATCATCCAACACTACACTGTCTGACCCCCTCAATGTTACCTCATCAAATAGGGTGCGGAGACCAGTTCTAACTGAAATGCATAACCAGTACCCACCAAACAGCTGTCATAGCACCATCCATGTAACTATGGACTTACGATGGTCGTAGCACTACCTCCATCCATGTAACAGTATTGACTTACGATGGTCGTAGCACTACCTCCATCCATGTAACTATGGACTTACGATGGTCGTAGCACTACCTCCATCCATGTAACAGTATTGACTTACGATGGTCGTAGCACTACCTCCATTCATGTAACAGTATTGACTTACAATGGTCATAGCACTACCTCCATCCATGAAACAGTATTGACTTATGATGGTCGTAGAACTACCTCCATCCATGTAACAGTATTGACTTACGATGGTCTTAGCACTACCTCCATCCATGTAACAGTATTGACTTATGATGGTCGTAGAACTACCTCCATCCATGTAATAGTATTGACTTACGATGGTCGTAGAACTACCTCCATCCATGTAACAGTATTGAATTACGATGGTAAACTTATGATGGTTGTAGCACTGTTGACATGAAAAGTTTGTCAGTTTATTATCATCATAGTGCTATGATTATCCGAGTCTTTGTAAGCGTATGGGAGTACCAGTTGTTATCCCACTATGACTGCTGTAAATCTTAATACTGGCCGCACAACAATGTTCAAATTCTGTCAAAGTGAATGTAACCCTTCACATGAACTGAATTTGGTATCAAACATATTCATATTGTCAGGTGTACAAGAGAAAGGTTTATCAGATCATTTTTAATCAAGTCATATGTTATGATTTTGTCAAGTAATGAAACTAAAAAGTGAAGTTTTTATTAGACAAAAGCCTGTTGTTATTGGTCTTTCTCAGCAGACTAAGCATACAACACTACAAGCCTGGCAAGCAGGCCGTGGACAAGGTGAAGGTCAATCGAATTTCAGTGAGGTAAGTTATAAAATGCAGATGTCAAGAAACAAACTTACATACAATGTGTAAAAGCGACATGTCACAGAAAACATGATATACAGTTTGTCATATTTAACATTCTACTCATCGTACATGAACACAGTGATTGAAAGCAACATTTTCAGAATTATTTTTTCACTGTATCGGTCATATGAAACCATCTTTCCCTCACAGGCTATCAAGTAGAAAGTAATTCTGACATTCAAACCATACTCGTGTCAACTGTCCCTTTCTTTAACATAGTGAATTCTCTATAAAACTCATGAAACATACAATATGTATAACACTGTACCCACAAAGTGTCAGTTATGATGTTCAGTTTACATAATGTTCTGTTTTGCTGCAATATAGAAATGGGGACAAAACGAAGGGCAATACGTGCATTTTGACAATAACAGACGGCAAATATCATGGAAATCCCTACTGAAGTATTAGCCAACCTACAGACAAACCTGCAAAATGTATGATAATGTGATGTTGATATATTCTGCAGTCTCTGCAAAAGCACATAAATATTGACAGCTGAGCAGGTATCTCATTGAGCACTCGGTAACAAGACATACTGTTTAACATGCTGTAATGATCTGCATCCAGAACTGACACTGAGATATGGTGGTCAGGAAAACTCTACGATATGGTACACAGAACTGACACTGATATATGCTGGTCAGGCAAGCTCTATGTACAGAACTGACACTGAGATATGCTGGTCAGGAAAGCTCTATGTACAGAACTGACACTGAGATATGGTACTCAGGCAAGCTCTATGTACAGAACTGACACTGAGATATGGTACTCAGGCAAGCTCTATGTACAGAACTGACACTGAGATATGCTGGTCAGGAAAGCTCTATGTACAGAACTGACACTGAGATATGGTACTCAGGCAAGCTCTATGTACAGAACTGACACTGAGATATGCTGGTCAGGAAAGCTCTATGTACAGAACTGACACTGAGATATGCTGGTCAGGAAAGCTCTATGTACAGAACTGACACTGAGATATGCTGGTCAGGAAAGCTCTATGTACAGAACAGGCAAGCTCTATGTACAGAACTGACACTGAGATATGCTGGTCAGGAAAGCTCTATGTGACACTGAGATATGCAGGGTCAGGAAAGTCAGGAAAGCTCTATGTACAGAACTGACACAATGCTGGTCACTGAATGAGATACTGGTCAAGCAGAACTGACACTGTATATGATCCAGGAATTACCAGGTCACTGTGACTCAGGCAAGCTCTATGTACAGAACTGACACTGAGATATGGTGATGACAGAAAGGACACAGATTGCTGGTCAGACTCCTGACTGACTGGTCACCTGAGTGTTACATCATTACTTACAAGTTGCTTGATGTTGTACCCAACATAAACCAAGCATATGATGATCAATTTTCGATGGTGATGACATTAGGTCAGATTATGACAGACTCCTGACTGACTGGTCAGGTTACTCATTACTAAGCATATGTGTAGACATGAGAATTTCCATGGATTTCGGGATGTTTGTTCATTTTGAGCGTTTTTGAGATCGATGTAAATCTGCATTAAAAGACCTCAAGACCACCGGCTAAATTTTCAGTGTTGTTTGTGCTTCGCTGTTCTCATGTCTGCTCGTGCCAAACACCTGTAGACGTACCTGTTTTTATTGGGATTGTATCGTAAATAGGGATTTATACAATAAATAAACTTAGTTTCTTCTTCTAATTCCCTTTATTGTTAGCTATATATATTTATGAATTCAAAATGAGCAGTCAGTAAACCCTTTGTAAACAGTAATCTGAACATTGCTGGTAAAGACAAAGGATGTCATCTCCACTGTGTCTCCCTATGGCACCTACAACATGTACAACACAGTACTCTTAACTGCCGGGTGCCAGTTTTCACGTACCATCTTCCAAAACTATCTGACATGGTAACATCGATTCATGTGCCTAGTGGTTTGATTCATGAACTAATGAAGGAAGACTTTTTTCACGGATGAACATAACTATTCTTCAGATAGAGATAGAGATCCATTCAATTCTGAGCCTGTGTCACAACGTGATCATTTATACATATCAACAAATTCGTTCATCACTAACTAAACCCAAATACACTGCATAAAACAAAAAACCTTGAGACATTTTATGCGGTTACCAGCAATTACTAATCTACATTTTTCGGCATGTTGCCAAGTTTTGACAGACGAAACACAGTCCTAAAGAGAGAAGGTATAATTGAGTCTGGACCAGACAATCCAGTGATCAACAGCATGAGCATCGATTTATACAATTGGGATACGATGACATGTCACAACCAAGTCAGCGAGCCTGACGACATGATCCCATTACTCGCCTCTTACGACAAGCATGGGTTACTAAAGATCATTTCCAACCCGGATCCTAACTGGCAGCTGGTATGGGGCTCTGGGAGGACAAGCAGGCTGTGGTGACGAGGAGTAGTTCCCCATTGATCGTGAATGTCATCTATCATTGCCCCATTCTCGTCAATCTAACTAACAAACTCTTCAGTCCAATGGGAACACTATGACACAAGTGCAGATCCCCTGCGCAAAAATATCCAAAAAATCTTCCGACTTTATTTAAACAGTGAGTAGCACAAGCACATGTAAAAAAACTACTAAAGATGACATCACACTGTCCATTTTTTTATCGTTTGCAAGAAAAAATAATCATCTAAAAGTGCGTTCCAACATCGTAGGTGTAGAGTGTTTAATAAAATTCTTTGATCTGATCTAGTTTGCATTTTTTCTAACCATGATAATGCCCTGAAGGGTGAGATATTGTTTGTGTGGAGGGTCACAGTTAGCTTGAGTAGTGACCAATAAGCCATGGGAATCCTTCATAATCCTATTTAAAGATACAGCAGACTAGATATGATCAAAGAAAATTTTCAAAACATTGATTGACTCTATAAGGAAGGTTTAGTAAATCCTGTAGTTTTGCCACAGAGATTCCAGTAGCTTGATGCAAACAGAAGTGAACAGAATATGACACTTCTACATGGCTGCCCTGGTTGTCGATAATTTAACCTGTGCAAAATTTCAAATTGTTCAAGGTAAAATTCTCCAAATACTCATCTTTTCTTTTCAAAGTGACAGCTTAAAAAAAACCCTTGTGGTATAAAAGCCTTTCTCAAGTACATATTTCTTGATTATGTTAATTCATTGTTATAATACCAAGAAGTACACTTATGTTATCTCTCCGTCTCTCTGCTGACACTGTAGAATTTACATCACAATGCTTCATCATGAACAGTTCCAATCAAGAAAATGGCACAATGTGGAATGGACTTGTCCTTGGGTACGTTTCTGCAATCTGATTTGGCTATACTGAAATGAACCTGAGGTACACATCTGAGGTACCTGAGCCAAGAATGATCCCTTCAGTGCCAGTGACCTGATTATCATGGGTAGGCATATACTGGTATGTAATTAGAACCATCTACCACAGTCCCCTGTGACCTACCTGGATCAACATACGTCTGTGTTCACTACGGAGGGGTGGGGCACTACAACTTATCAGAAATTCTGATGCACTGCCAATTTTTAAAATGAATCCTTTTAACACAATATTGTTTTCAGGTTCAGAATTTTGAAATATAGATTTGCTGGTAACAAAAACCCATGTGAGGTTCAGTATCATATCGCCTTTACTGCAGGCGGGACAACAGTTTAAACAGACAACAACAACAAACATCATGTCATACATACATTAAAGGCCTTGGATATTGACATTATCAACACCACAAAACAGCTGCAAAAACTATAACATAGTATTTCCAACAATAAAGATGCATGTGGACACATGTAGCTGACCACCAATCATGTCACATTCCACTTGAAACAAGGACATAAAACCTGTAACAGGCACTAACAAAATGCTCAGGTTGTGATTTGGAAATAATAACCCACATACAAGTGCTCAACTGACCTTTTTTTCCTGAAGAGAACAAAGAAATAACATACTATTTATATGTGAAAATGTGTCTTATGTCTCTGATATGTGTCTGCATCAATGTGTCTGCAAGGGCAGATAACTCTGATTTTATTGTGCTTATTGAACAGTAACACTTGTGTGACCTGTTGTCAAAAGATTTAAGAAGTGTATTCCAATAAATTCTTGATGTAGGTCCTACATAGTGTCCTCATAAGATCCAGCTCAATCTTTGGCTAGATGAACACCTGTAGATAGTGATGTGTGAGAAGATGTGTGACCAGGATGTCTTGTCTACTGTGAGAGATGGTTGCTAGGGTACGAGGATGTCTTGTCTACCATGTGAGATGGTTGCTAGGGTACAGGGATGTTTTGTCTACTGTGTGAGATGGTTGCTAGGGTACAGAGATGTCTTGTCTACCGTGTGAGATGGTTGCTAGGGTACAGGGATGTTTTGTCTACTGTGTGAGATGGTTGCTAGTGTACAGAGATGTCTTGTCTACTGTGTGAGATGGTTGCTAGGGTACGAGGATGTCTTGTCTAATGTGTGAGATGGTTGCTAAGGCACAGAGATGTCTTGTCTACCATGTGAGATGGTTGCTAGGGTACAGGGATGTTATTTCTACTGTGTGAGATGGTTGCTAGGGTACAGAGATGTCTTGTCTACCATGTGAGATGGTTGCTAGGGTACAGGGATGTTATTTCTACTGTGTGAGATGGTTGCTAGGGTACAGAGATGTCTTGTCTACCATGTGAGATGGTTGCTAGGGTTTCGAGATGTGTTATCTACCATGTGACATGGTTGCTAGGGCACAGAGATGTTTTGTCTACTGTGTGAGATGGTTGCTAGGGTACGAGGATGTCTTGTCTACTGTGTGACATGGTTGCTAGGGCACAGATATGTTTTGTCTACTGTGTGAGATGGTTGCTAGGGTATGAGGACGTCTTGTCTACTGTGTGACATGGTAGTTAGGGCACAGAGATGTTTTGTCTACTGTGTGAGATGGTTGCTAGGGTACAGAGATGTCTTGTCTACTGTGTGAGATGGTTGCTAGGGTACAGAGATGTCTTGTCTACTGTGTGAGATGGTTGCTAGAGTACAGAGATGTCTTGTCTACTGTGTGAGATGGTTGCTAGGGTACAGAGATGTCTTGTCTACTGTGTAAGAGTGTTGCTAAGGCACTGGTGAGTGATGTGTATGGTGTGACTGATCTTTGAGAGTGTTAAAAGGCACTGGTGAGTGATGTGTATGGTGTGACTGATCTTTGAGAGTGTTGCTAAGGCACTGGTGAGTGATGTGTACTGTGTAATGCATGTGTGAGGGGTTGTTTGGGCAGAGAAGTATTCCAGGAGATTGGTGTCTGTCAATGTTTGTGTTTTACGGTTGGTTGGTAGTTTAATGCTGCACTCAGCAATATTCCAGCTATATGGCCGCAGTCTGTAAATAATTGAGTCGGAACCAAACAATCCAGTGATCAACAACATGAGCATCGATCTATGCCATTGGGATACGATGACAAGTGTTCACCAAGTCTTGTTTATGAGTGACCGTAGTAGTGTGTCTGGTGCATGTGATGTAAGCGTCATATTGTGCTGAACGTCATATTATCACTGGTTACCATAGTAACAGAACTAGACGAGGTGAGCGGATCATCACTACTGAACTGTGACCTTGGACCTTCTCTTTACTAAGGTTGCTAAGTGACGTTAATGGTCTGTGCTACATTTATAGTAATAGAAATATTGAACATGAACACTTCTAACTATACATATGAAGGTATTCCATACCATTCTATCACCGTAATGACTTGATTGTTTCATTGGATCGTTGTGCATTTGAGGGGATACATAAATTACTCCTAATAAAGTATCTTGCTTTTCAAGCTAAAAACTATGAGATAACTTTGATATATATATATATATATATATTAAGATTGTTAACAACGCTGTTTTTTTCTATATGGAGTCATACAACAAGTATATACATTAGCAGATTTGTGGCAGTTGCGAGACAACAGACATCAGAAAGACGTTGAGCAAATGTCAAATACTCCTCGACAACAATTGTTTACCTGTACATTTCAATCAGTTGGCTCTCTGAAGCACAATCACTGACCAGCATACCCGGCCTCTCAACACGTATAACATGACATGTATACTGTCTAACAAAAATAGATGCTACTATTCACAACAACACCAAAAAGGCACATACTCAGTAAGAATATCAAGTGTAATTATATTACAGATAAACTTTATATTACAATAACAAACATCAGAGTTTCCACATCACAGAAATTGTGTCACTCTCTGATAACGTTCAGGTGGAGGCTGGCTGTGGTGGGAGGGTGTGGAGGGCAGGGGCCGTAGGGGTGACTTGTGGAGTACTGAAAGGGTGAGTACAGCAGGGAATGAGTGAGTGAGTGAGTGAGTGAGTGAGTGAGTTTGGTTTTACGCCGCTTTTAGCAATATTCCAGCAATAGGATGGCGGGGGACACCAGAAATGGGCTTCACACATTGTACCCATGTGGGGAATCAAAGCCGGGTCTTCGGCATGATGAGCGAATGCTTTAACCACTAGGCTACCCCACCGCCCCAGCAGAGATGGAGGGTACAGTTAAATTCTGGGAAAATAAGTGATGGGGTACCCTTAGAGATCCAAAATGCATTATAAAATGTCCCTTGAACTTATATCACTAACAGGGTGTTCAAGCAAATGATGGTTGGCTGTACTTGAGGTAGCTTCATTTAGATCGATCAGAAGAAACATCTGCTCTAAGGCAACCAGAACACATAACAAAGTCTGAAATCTACTGATGGGACTTTGTACAAGCCTAAAGGATATCAGATTATCACCATCCCTTTTGTAAGAATGTAACCATGTAAGAGGTTCCAAGAAAAGCTATTCACTGTCCCCAAATCACACTGCACTGATTAACAGTGAGCTGAATCTGTCGCCTGCAGTTGCCACACACTATCCATGAATCCAGGGTCCAGGGCCACGTAGCAGACACTCCCTGTTGCCCAGACACTGGCTTTAGCATCCCCCGATATCCCAGATCCTACTTGAGGTACATCTCATCCCACAGCTGGTTCTGCAGCTCCGGGTGAGCCTGTGCGATCACGCTGACACACTGGTTGTGCTGCAGCGTGGCCATTGCAAGCTCACTGATACGCAGGAGGAGGTACCCCATCCTCCCTTCATGGTCGCTGTGGTGTCCTGGAAACAACCAATATGTATGAAAACATTGACAACAAATATACTTCATTTCTGAAAAATTGTTTGAATTGAACATTTTTCATTCAGAAGAAAAAGGACTGGGCACAAGATTCTACAGTTTAGGTGGCCCCCTCTCAAAATGTTTAAATTATCAGTATCACATACTATCACATTTGGACCATGTACAAAAGTATATTCTGAGAAAAGCACAGGAGCTGTACATTTACTTAAATCTATACATCGACATACCAGTATATGAAATAAGCCAAAAACCCAGCCAGACATCAGGGCTGGTAACTTCAAAATGTTACCAGCCCCAAATGGATTTAACCAGACCAGATACCAAGATATGTATGGAACATCTATAAGTTTTACCAGACCATCGGGCTGGCTAGCAGTAAAGCTAGACCGTCAGTCAGAAATCTAGCCCGTCTTGGGCGGTCGGACGGGCCTTATTTCATACACTGGACATACATAGTAACCATGTCCTTTATAGAAGGGAGCTCTCTTTTAACAATACTGACATATCAGGAACTAGGTTGTTTTTATGAATTCCAGTTCTGCTTTAAAACTTGAAACATTATCTGCAAAAATAAGTCTTAGAATACTACTGTCTGACTTTGGTTGTATGTGAACTGTTGGCTAAAATGGCAGACGTAATGGATGATCCACAAGCAGGGAGAGGAGGTCTGGAAACCAGGGGCATGTCGGCAGTGCAGGTGCCACTAGAATGATGTCATCTGATGATTCCTGATCGTGGCTGGGACTCGTGGGATTAGTGCTGTCAGTAGGAATGTGGGATTAGTGCTGTCAGTAGCAATGTGGGATTAGTGCTGTCAGTAGGAATGTGTATGCAATCATGCCTTCCGAAGAAATCGTCATGGCATGCACTGCATAAACTAAACGATCTTGACCTGCACTGATGACAGTTGGTAACTGGTTGTTGAGTGATGTCGCACACATATCTTTATGGGGTTGCTTCCATTTGATAGCTATCTGTCTGATGATGTCCGGATGAAGCGTCCATTCTGTGCATAGAATCTTGTCCCGATGAGGATGTCTGTAAGGATGTTGATCTGTCCTGGGATGTGTCTGGTCATGCTGTTGCAATTCAGTCAGTCCACTAGATTGTAAAGTTCCGTCGTAGGTTCCATGAAGACAAGTAAGAAAGAGTTCCTTAGGCGTAACACCCAGTGCTGAAAAGCTACTAGGACTGCCCCCATCTCCAGAACGTTGGTGTGGTGTGGAGAACCTGTACTGATGTGGCGTGGAGAACCTGTACTGAGGTGGTGTGGAGAACTGTACTGAGGTGGAGTGGAGAACCTGTACTGAGGTGGTGTGGAGAACCTGTACTGAGGTGGTGTGGAGAACCTGTACTGAGGTGGTGTGGAGAACCTGTACTGAGGTGGTGGAGAACCTGTACTGAGGTGGTGTGGAGAACTTGTACTGAGGTGGTGTGGAGAACCTGTACTGAGGTGGTGTGGAGAACCTGTACTGAGGTGGTGTGGAGAACCTGTACTGAGGTGGTGTGGAGAACCTGTACTGAGGTGGAGAACTTGTACTGATGTGGAGAACCTGTACTGAGGTGGAGAACTTGTACTGAGGTGGAGAACCTGTACTGAGGTGGTGGAGAACTTGTACTGAGGTGGAGAACCTGTACTGAGGTGGTGTGGAGAACTTGTACTGAGGTGGTGTGGAGAACTTGTACTGAGGTGGAGAACCTGTACTGAGGTGGTGTGGAGAACCTGTACTGAGGTGGAGAACCTGTACTGAGGTGGAGAACCTGTACCTGTACTGAGGTGGTGGAGAACCTGTACTGAGGTGGAGAACCTGTACTGAGGTGGGTGGAGAACCTGTACTGAGGTGGTGTGGAGAACCTGTACTGAGGTGGTGTGGAGAACCTGTACTGAGGTGGTGGAGAACCTGTACTGAGGTGGAGAACCTGTACTGAGGTGGTGTGGAGAACCTGTACTGAGGTGGTGTGGAGAACCTGTACTGAGGGTGAGGTGGAGAACCTGTACTGAGGTGGTGTGGAGAACCTGTACTGAGGTGGTGTGGAGAACCTGTACTGAGGTGGAGAACCTGTACTGAGGTGGTGTGGAGAACCTGTACTGAGGTGGTGTGGAGAACCTGTACTGAGGTGTGGAGAACCTGTACTGAGGTGGTGTGGAGAACCTGTACTGAGGTGGTGTGGAGAACCTGTACTGAGGGTGGTGTGGAGAACCTGTACTGAGGTGGTGTGGAGAACCTGTACTGAGGTGGGTGGAGAACCTGAACCTGTACTGAGGTGGAGAACCTGTACTGAGGTACTGTGGAGAACCTGTACTGAGGTGGAGAACCTGTACTGAGGTGGTGTGGAGAACCTGTACTGAGGTGAACCTGGTGGAGAACCTGTACTGAGGTGGTGTGGAGAACCTGTACTGAGGTGGGTGGAGAACCTGTACTGAGGTGGAGAACCTGTACTGGTGGTGGAGAACCTGTACTGGTGTGGAGAACCTGTACTGAGGTGGAGAACCTGTACTAGTGTGGGTGGAGAACCTGTACTGAGGTGGTGTGGAGAACCTGTACTGAGGTGGAGAACCTGTACTGAGGTGGTGTGGAGAACCTGTACTGAGGTGGGTGGAGAACCTGTACTGAGGTGGGTGGAGAACCTGTACTGAGGTGGTGTGGAGAACCTGTACTGAGGTGGAGAACCTGTACTGAGGTGGTGTGGAGAACCTGTACTGAGGTGGAGAACCTGTACTGAGGTGGTGGAGAACCTGTACTGAGGTGGAGGGAGAACCTGTACTGAGGTGGGTGGAGAACCTGTACTGAGGTGGTGTGGAGAACTGTACTGTACTGAGGTGGAGAACCTGTACTGAGGTGGAGAACCTGTACTGAGGTGGAGAACCTGTACTGAGGTGGTGTGGAGAACTTGTACTGTACTGAGGTGTGGAGAACCTGTACTGAGGTGGAGAACCTGTACTGAGGTGGTGGAGAACCTGTACTGAGGTGGAGAACCTGTACTGAGGTGGTGTGGAGAACCTGTACTGAGGTGAGGTGGAGAACCTGTACTGAGGTGGTGTGGAGAACCTGTACTGAGGTGGTGTGGAGAACCTGTACTGAGGTGGTGTGGAGAACCTGTACTGAGGTGGTGTGGAGAACCTGTACTGAGGTGGGTGGAGAACCTGTACTGAGGTGGTGTGGAGAACCTGTACTGAGGTGGAGAACCTGTACTGAGGTGGTGTGGAGAACCTGTACTGAGGTGGAGAACCTGTACTGAGGTGGTGTGGAGAACCTGTACTGAGGTGGTGTGGAGAACCTGTACTGAGGTGGAGAACCTGTACTGAGGTGGAGAACCTGTACTGAGGTGGTGTGGAGAACCTGTACTGAGGTGGAGAACCTGTACTGAGGTGGTGGAGAACCTGTACTGAGGTGGTGTGGAGAACCTGTACTGAGGTGGGTGGAGAACCTGTACTGAGGTGGAGAACCTGTACTGAGGTGGAGAACCTGTACTGAGGTGGAGAACCTGTACTGAGGTGTGGAGAACCTGTACTGAGGTGCGTGGAGAACCTGTACTGAGGTGGAGAACCTGTACTGAGGTGGAGAACCTGTACTGAGGTGGAGAACCTGTACTGAGGTGGAGAACCTGTACTGAGGTGGAGAACCTGTACTGAGGTGGAGAACCTGTACTGAGGTGGTGTGGAGAACCTGTACTGAGGTGGAGAACCTGTACTGAGGTGGAGAACCTGTACTGAGGTGGAGAACCTGTACTGAGGTGGAGAACCTGTACTGAGGTGGAGAACCTGTACTGAGAGGTGGAGAACCTGTACTGAGGTGGAGAACCTGTACTGAGGTGGAGAACCTGTACTGAGGTGGAGAACCTGTACTGAGGTGGAGAACCTGTACTGAGGTGGAGAACCTGTACTGAGGTGGAGAACCTGTACTGAGGTGGAGAACCTGTACTGAGGTGGAGAACCTGTACTGAGGTGGTGTGGAGAACCTGTACTGAGGTGGTGTGGAGAACCTGTACTGAGGTGGTGTGGAGAACCTGTACTGAGGTGGTGTGGAGAACTGTACTGAGGTGGGGTGGAGAACCTGTACTGAGGTGGTGTGGAGAACCTGTACTGAGGTGGTGTGGAGAACCTGTACTGAGGTGGCGATCTGCCCGGGGCATCATGAGTCCCAGGATAACCTTGTTCAGAATAGTCCACCATGCAAGGTCCTGAACACTAGATCCATAGGCCATACAACTAGTGATGGGAATTGGTTCAAATCTCTTAATTAATGATTGGTTCATTACAACCGATCAATCATCGAAAATAATTGGTTTGCGTCATTTATAAAATTTTCCTGTTATGTTTGTTAACGCACAAACAAGTGTTCTAAAATTGTTTGTGTTTGATTATGAGAATACACAATCGATTGCTTGGTCATTTAGACACTGTGACCAATCTTCGATTATTTCAATTAATCGGACCCAACTACCTACAACAGAGTTGGTTTATCTAATCTTAAATTATCTAAGATGCAGAGGGATGTGGATGTAAGATCTGCATAGAAGTGAGAGCTCCTAGTAGCAACATCCATTGACATACAGTTTGAGGAGTCTGCTGAAACTTGTTATCTTGGATGTGATCTCTCGATGACAATCCTCTGGAGGATAAAGTAGTTGTGATCAAAATATCTGATTAAATTTAATTTAACGCTTATATAATGAAACATAGTTGCAGGCAACGGTGGGGGCTCCTTGGCTTTAGTTCTATCTATTGTATTTGAGGGCAAGAAATCATCGTCCAAAACGGATCCAGAACACGTTTTTGACAGGTGAGCGGATCTTCCAAATACAGCCGGGGTCTGAGAAGAAATAGTTCCCTCTTTAAAAGGTTGCATCTCAGTTGTTCTTGGGTCTACGGTCAAAACAATTAGTGTTCTGGAATCACCAAGACTTCATCTATCATACTGGCATTTTACATTTTGGGAGCAAACTACTCAGAAAACTGCTGAAGAACATGGCCAAAAACTGAAAACAAAAATAACTGCCAAATGATACGTTTTAGCGACTTGACCCATCCAGGCAAAATTGTTGGGAATTCGATTGTGCATTTGTAAAAGAGATTTGGAAGTGTTGGAACTTAGTTCTTGAGATATTTGCTGTCAAACTTTGAAATTTTGGAAGTAATTTTGAATTATCTCCCCTTTGCTGTTGGGCCTAAAGCCTAGAGATTTTTAACGGGAATATGTACACCTCGGTGCGCATCTGTGTGATTTTTTTTTAGCAATTCGGAGCATTGGTTTAGGAGTTATGTTTGGTACAAAAATCGGCGGAATAATAAATAATAATAATAATCCGAACGATTACAATAGGTCTCTTGTCTAGAGGCAAAAAGCCCTAAATATAGTTTACAAAAGACAAACAACAAAAAAATTATTTTATGTTTTATTTGTCCCACGATGTCATTTACCTTTGGAAATGTTGTCAGTACGTATATGCTTCCTGCTTCCGGTGTAAACATCGCCAGTTGAGTTCGCTGCGCTGGCAGATTCACTCACCTGACCTCTGGAATTTTTGGGGTAGATTAATGAACTCAATTATAAGTCGGGTCTGATTTTTTAGCTCCTTTTTCTGGTATCAAATTTCCGACTTATAGTCGGTCATATACGGTAGCCTTGACTGGTGTCGAATATCGCTGGGATATATTTCTGCACTTTCTTGGGTTGAAGCTCTGACTTTTCCAGATGAATAAGGAACCCAAAATTCCTGAAGAAAGTCAGCAGATATTGAGAGTCTTCTGAACAGGCATCCAATCCAGCCAGGTACCCATGAACTCATGTTGAAAATGTAAATACATAAGGACTGGAGCTGTGATGATTGTGAATAGCTTCATGCAACTGATATTCCAAATGGTAGAGTGGGCTGCACACATTGTACCAAAGTGGGCTGCACCCTGACCTAAACAGTCTTCAGCTGACAGCAAAGCGGAGGTATCTCTGACAGTCTGGCTTGACTGGAACGTGTAGATATACATCCTGCAGGTCCATGGAGATCATAGAGTCCCCTATGGAGGTTGTATGTCTGAGGTTCCATACAGACTCCACCCAAAACTTGTGCGAGGTCTGTGGTATTCCCAGTTTAGGGTCTTCGGATCGATAATCATCCTGAGGTCTGTTGAATCCTACCTGCGGGCAAGGAATACCGAAGAGAGGGACCCTGGTCCAGGCTCGAAAGGGTCCAACTCCTCTGATCTAAGGACTTCCAAGGCTTTTCACATTTCCCTTTGAAGACATGATCGCCAAGGGGCTGGGAATACAGCATATTTCTTGTCTATGATGAGATGGATGAACGTAACTGATGGAGATAAGGATTGCTCCTCAACAGTGTCAACTGGCCTGCAAGTAGGGACTGGGAATAAAATGCCTTTGCCATGCTGGCTAGATAGCTGTAGATCATCTGAATAGTATCTCATGCAACCTCCATCTTAACGGATCATCCATAGCATCAGCTTCATCAACCCTTTATAACTAAATAAGCAAAACATTACAAAAAATGTTTCAGAAAACAAGTAAACACATGCAAGCATATGTGCCACAGGAAACATATAATGAGGTTTCCTCTGCGCTCGGTTGGGGAGTTTACTCCTGCGGATAGCACTTGGATATACCACTAAGACGAAAGACAACACAGAACCATGGTCTTTATAAATTTTATTCAAGCTAAACCTGTGGATTCAGAAATAAGTTTCAGGAAAAGGTTAAACAAGTGTTAGAGGGTTTTATTTGTAAAAATTTGTAACTATACTTCTATTCAATTCAAACGATCACTTTTGCTATGACCAACTTCTACCAGACACACAAAGCAGACAGAGGTCGGCAACATTACTTACTCTTAATGTACACATGCAGGGAATCCAACAGCTCGGAACTTATTGCATCCACTCGATCTCTCTCTTTCATGGTCAGATTATCTGGAACAACAGAAAAGCAGCATGAGAAACATTGACAAGCATCTTGAGCAAACAGCTGAACAGTGCACAAAATGTCTCCCAATGTTTTTGCTTGTTTGGCTTTGTTTTCTATGTTGCCGGTCATCAGCATGACAGCTGTGCGTACATAACAGAGTGTACGCAGGAAATTCAGAGGTTGATAATCGTTAACTAAATATCGAAGGATTACTGATAAATAGCTGAGAAGTAACCTTGAGCAAAAACGCCAAGTAAGTCAGAAAGAAATCAACATATTTCACATTACTGGTAAGTGGTGACACCTACAAAATAGCGTTCTGACATAACTTACAAGTAGCCCATGATGAGAGCTCTGAGACACACACACGCACGCACGCACGCACGCACGCACGCGCACACACACACACACACACACAATGTTTCCAATTATGTCTTTTTGTCAGGTCTAACCACAAGACTAACCACTGCAAATGAAAAACAAACTCCAACAAAATAGTGAACACACAAATGAACACATTACTTTTCTGTTAACAGTATAATTACCCAAACATTCTGCACCACATTAATGTGAAACTAAGCAAAGCATGTTGATGAAACAGTCTGTAAGTGATCAGCTGTCGATGTGCCCTAGTTGAGTTGATTGTTCAGTTGTTTGGTCTGATTACTCATAACGGTCTGTACGTGAATGGGGAGAAATACAACACAATACACGACTCAGGCTGCCCATTGGCTACTGCGATGTAGTCATAATTGTGTGTAGTTGTAGTTGAAACCTTGTATGAATTGTCGGACTTATCTGAGGATGCTAAAACCCGCAAGAAATAGAATGGCGGCGGAAAAAATGTCATCTAACCACTATTCATTGAACTACCTTTGACAGGAATGCCATATTACAATTCTTGAACAACTCAATGCAATCCATCTTATTACTATTCATATGAACACTTGACTTTAGAGGTCTTTCAAAGGCATTTAAAAGTGACACTTTTATGGGAAACCATTTCTTTTTTTCTTTGCCATCTTACCACTTTTCATCAACACAAGACTTGAGAGGAAGGCAAGCTCTGTGTCGTCGAAGTTCTTTGTTTTCACCATCATGCCAAAGTGATGGAAGTGTTTAGTAATGATCTGAAACTGAGGGAAGTATCTCAGAATGGCTTCTTCCTCCTTTGAGTTGAAGTCAAAGAAGCGATACTGTCTTTTTTCGAGGTTATAGAACTGACAGTGGTTGAGGATGCAGAGAGAATATGTTGCCATCTGGATGAGTGACACTTGATCTTCGAGAAGTAGAGACTGAAAGTCTGAAACAAAGGAGATTAGTACATTAGGATTATCATATCAACATTTGTATTATCATATTAACATTTGTATTATCATTCTGACATTTGTATTACCATATTAACATTTGTATTATCATACTGACATTTGGATTTTCATATTAACATTATGATTATCATATTGACATTTGAATTGTCATATTAACATTACGATGATCATATTGACATTTGAATTGTCATATTAAGACTTGGGTTGTCATACTGACATTTGGATTGCCATATTAACATTACCATGATCATATTGACATTTGAATTGTCATATTAAGACTTGGGTTGTCATATTAACATTTGGATTGTCACATTGACATTTGGATTGGTATATATACAGCTTGATTGCTATATTCATATTTCAATTGTAATCTTTGACATTTGTATTCTTAAACTTACATTTTGTTGTAACAAACGTTAGTATTCTATCATATACACCTGGATTGTTGCATCAACATGGGATTGTCATATTACCGGTTGTTATATTGATATTTGAGTTGATACACTGACATTTGGATTGTTTGATTGACATTTCCATCCTCATATCAACAGTTGTGATAATAACAACACATGTGTATCTGCAGTAAACTTACTGGTAAAAAGCTAATCTAATAAACTTGGGTGATATGCCATATTCTATAAAACATCAGCATAACTAACTACAGATCTTGCATTACTTGGTACAAATGTCACATTACTTCCCAATAATGTTGACTTACTTACTACAGATGCTGCATTATATATTACAGCTGCTGCATTACATACTTCAGATGCTGCATTACATACGTCAGATGCTGCATTACTTACGTCAGATGCTGCATTACTTACTTCAGAAGCTGCCTTACTTACTTCAGACGTTGCATTATTTACATTAGATGCTGCATTACTTACATCAGATGCTGCATTACGTATCTGAGACACTGCATTACTTACTTCAGACACTGCATTACTTCAGATGCTGAGTTACTTAATTACTCTAATTGCTGCATTACTTACTTCAGATGCTGCATTACTTACTTCAGATGCTGCATTACTTAATTCAGATGCTGCATTACTTACTTCAGACACTGCATTACTTATGTCAGATGCTGCGTTACTTACTTCAGAAGCTGCCTTACTTACTTCAGACGTTGCATTATTTACATTAGATGCTGCATTACTTACATCAGATGCTGCATTACGTATCTCAGATGCTGCATTACTTACTTCAGACACTGCATTACTTACTTCAGATGCTGCATTACTTCAGATGCTGAGTTACTTAATTCAGATGCTGCATTACTTACTTCAGACACTGCATTACTTATGTCAGATGCTGCGTTACTTACTTCAGAAGCTGCCTTACTTACTTCAGACGTTGCATTATTTACATTAGATGCTGCATTACTTACATCAGATGCTGCATTACGTATCTCAGATGCTGCATTACTTACTTCAGACACTGCATTACTTCAGATGCTGAGTTACTTAATTACTCTAATTGCTGCATTACTTACTTCAGATGCTGCATTACTTACTTCAGATGCTGCATTACTTACTTCAGACACTGCATTACTTATGTCAGATGCTGCGTTACTTACTTCAGATGCTTCATTACGTACGTCAGATATGCATTACTTACTTCAGATGCAGTATTACTTACATCAGATGCTGCATTACTTACGTCAGATGCTGCATTACGTATGTCAGACGCTGCATTACTTCAGACGCTGCATTACTTAAGATGCTGCATTACTTACTTCAGATGCTGCATTAATTACTTCAGACACTGCATTACTTACGTCATATGCTGCATTACAAACTTCAGATGCTGCATTAATTACTTCAGACGCTGCATTACTTATGCCAGATGCTGTGTGACTTACTTCAGATACTGCATTACGTGCGTCAGGCGGCTGCACTTACTTCAGATGCAGGCTTGGCATCAGATGCTGCATTACTTACGTCAGATGCTGCAGATGTCAGCTGCATTACTTCAGGCGGCTGCATTACTTCAGATGCTGCATTACTTATTTCAGATGCTGCATTACTTATTCAGATGCTGCATTACTTCAGATGCTGCATTACTTTCAGATGCTGCATTGCTTATTTCAGATGCTGCACTTCGTCCAGATGCTGCATTACATTAGATGCTGCATTACTTCAGGCTGCACGTACTTCAGATGCTGCATTACTTACTTCAGATGCTGTATTACTTACTTCCAGATGCTGCATTACTTACTGTCAGACACTGCTGCACTTTCAGATGCAGTATTACTTACGTCAGATGCTGCATTACGTATGTCAGACGCTGCATTACTTAATTCAGATGCTGCATTACTTCAGACGCTGCATTACTTCAGATGCTGCATTACTTACTTCAGATGCTGCATTAATTACTTCAGATGCTGCATTACTTACTTCAGATGCTGCATTACTTACACCAGATGCTGTGTTACTTACTTCAGACACTGCATTACTTACTTCAGATGCTGCATTACTTACTTCAGATGCTGCATTAATTACTTCAGACACTGCATTACTTACGTCATATGCTGCATTACAAACTTCAGATGCTGCATTAATTACTTCAGACGCTGCATTACTTATGCCAGATGCTGTGTTACTTACTTCAGATACTGCATTACTTACTTCAGACGCTGCATTACTTACTTCAGATGCTGTATTACTTAATTACTCGATTTGCTGCATTACTCACTTCAGATGCTGCATTAATTACTTCAGACGCTGCATTACTTACGTCATATGCTGCATTACTAACTTCAGATGCTGCATTAATTACTTCAGACGCTGCATTACTTATGCCAGATGCTGCATTACTTATGCCAGATGCTGTGTTACTTTCTTCAGACACTGCATTACTTACTTCAGACACTGCATTACTTACACCAGATGCTGCATTACTTACTTCATATGTTGCATTACTTAATTACTCTAATTGCTGCATTACTTACTTCAGATGCTGCATTACTTACGTCAGTTGCAGCATTACATAATTACTCTAATTGCTGCATTACTTAATTCCTATAATTGCTGCATTACTTACTTCGGACGTTGCATTACTTAATTACTATAGTTGCTGCATTACTCTTATTGAGGCTATAATACTTACTCGGCAGCTTCTTGGAGAATTTGATAACACACTTGGCATTGAACTCAAAATGTACCATAATCGTCTTCCATGTGTTTTGCAAGTCACTGCAGTTCAAGTAGTAGCTTTCGAAGCAGATCTGCAAATATTTATGGAGCACATACAAGACAAGTGACAGAATGTGTGAAAGATGTTACAAACAAGTGAGCTATGTTGGTTCGGGTAATACCATGGTCGCATGTAAACCATCCAGTGGGGTATAACTGTGTTTGACTCCATGACAAAAGATCCACACATTCAGGGTGCAGCAACACAATGGAATCAGACAAGCAGTACAATCTGACCACCAGGTTCATTTTCTCCTCCTTTCTCCACAGACACACACAGACAAACACGATATGGTAGACAAGCAACAGATTTGGGCACCTGTTCTAATCCAGGTACACAGGATAGATAAGCAACAGATTTGGGCACCTGTTCTAAACCAGGTACCCGTGGTAGACAAGCAACAGATTTGGGCACCTGTTCTAATCCAGGTACACATGATAGATAAGCAACAGATTTGGGCACCTGTTCTAAACCAGGTACCCGTGGTAGACAGATTTGGGGCACCTGTTCCTAAAGTAACAGATTTGGGCACCTGTTCTAAACCAGGTACCCATGGTAGATAAGCAACAGATTTGGGCACCTGTTCTAAACCAGGTACCCGTGGTAGACAAGCAACAGATTTGGGCACCTGTTCTAAACCAGGTACCCGTGGTAGACAAGCAACAGATTTGGGCACCTGTTCTAAACCAGGTACCCGTGGTAGACAAGCAACAGATTTGGGCACCTGTTCTAATCCAGGTACACGTGATAGATAAGCAACAGATTTGGGCACCTGTTCTAAACCAGGTACCCGTGGTAGACAAGCAACAGATTTGGGCACCTGTTCTAAACCAGGTACCCGTGGTAGACAAGCAACAGATTTGGGCACCTGTTCTAAACCAGGTACATATGATAGATAAGCAACAGATTTGGGCACCTGTTGTAAACCAGGTACCCGTGGTAGACAAGCAACAGATTTGGGCACCTGTTCTAAACCAGGTACCCGTGGTAGGCATGGGCAGTGTTTAAACCATACCAAAACCTGTTCTAAAACCAGGTACCCGTGGTAGACAACCAAAGATTTGCACCTGTTCTAAACCAGGTGCCCGTGGTAGAACAAGCATCATTCCAGCAGATTTAACTGTTCTAATCCAGGTTCCTAATAGGCATCAGTGTTTCATACCAAAATGTGTAAGTGAAACCAAAGATGCCAACTGAAAACATCATTCCAGCTTTAACTGTTTACATGCTAAACAATGTATGGTTAACCTCTAACATCTACTAGCTACACGACCTTGACCTACTTTATTGGGCATGTTGAGTGCACTAAGTTCATGCCACGCTGCCTTCACTAGTTTGATGGTGTTGTCAATGACTTCCATATCAAGTTCCTTCTTAATTGGTGGTGGAATGACCTTGCTGTGTGCCCTGGCAAGTGCAGAAATATCCAGGGTGACGGGTGACGGTGACTGATCTTTATCCACTGCTTCCCCATTAACGGTTCGCTTCCCTTGTTTCCGAGCTTCTATAGAGATTGCATGTTTTATTGCATTGGGTTGACGACCAATTCGACTGGCTGAAACAGGGAAATGGTAACGATAAAAGTAGATTATGGTGTAGTTTATCAAAGTGTTGTTATTGTTTGCTGCTTAAAACATTTCAATGATAGGATGGTGGCTTGTAAAGAGACTTGAGTCTCGACCACAACATTACATGGTTGATATCATGAGAACATATCCATCATTATTGGGATACAAAGACATGCAATCAGCCAAGTCACAGGGTCAGACTGTTGATCCATTTAATCACAACCTATGACAAGCATGATTGCTGTAGACCTATATTCTTTCACAGGAGCCCCCAGGTCAAGTGAGGTGAGGTGAAATTGGGTTTAACGTCGTGCTTGAGAATATTTAGCCCAGACTCAAGCTGGTTTTATAGTGCTTGAGAATATTTCCCACTCACATTATACTGACTCCGAGCCAACCAGTCCTTGTCGTACCCATTAGCGCCAGGCAGGGACCAACAAGTACCATAGTTTAACGTCTTTTGGTATGGCGATGTTGGGGATGGAACCCGCGACCTTCTGCTCTCCGGGTGGACGCTCTAACCACTACACCACGGAGGCGGTCCCAGGTCAAGTGCACTATTGAGGAACTGGTTCCGGAAATACCAGTGATTTATGAGAAGAGCAATTTCCCCAGCTCCCAGGTACAAATACACTTGATCAATCAGTTTGACCATTCGATTTAATTCAGTCCCATCTTCTGCCCAACATTGTGGGGAGAGTTCAGAAATATAAAGATCACACATGTTCGGCACCTTGCTAACTTTCAGTATGATGCAGACAAAGCAAATGCCAAAATTGGGACAAATTTAGGAATCCAACCAGGAGATCCTGTCAGGGCGTGGGAGTATAACAGGTTACACATCTGGTCGTACAAGGTATCATCATCACACTATGACATAATGTTGAAAATCAAACAACGACTTTAGCAAGCAAGCACAAGGCCACCAGCACCCAAGCCAGCTTCTAGAAATAATGTTTTTTAGTTCTGTGGGCAAATCACCAAATACTGTACATGACCGAAGATAAGCCGAATTTTGAGGACCAAAAAAACAGTCTGTAGAAGGGGCTCGGCTTATCTACATGTTACACTTTTGTCACACTTTTTTTCTGGTGGTAAGAAAACGACATCGTATGGCTTGCTTAATGTGAATGAACAAGAGAAAATGACTTTGTCAGTGAAAACATCAAATTTGCAATTAAACATCATTTGACAAGTTTATGCATCTTTACAGTTCTAATTTGTTTTAGCTAGGCATTGTATTATATGCAGGGATTAAGTTAAGACCTCAGCTTATCTATGAAATCGGATTATCTAGGGTAATATATGGTAATCCTCCAATCCATCTTAGTCGTCATATATGACAACGTGGAACTATATCCATGTCTGCACCGGGTCAAGTCACAATGTTACCAACAATGTGGTTTCACATTAAAAAATTTAAATTTGAAATGAAACATGAAGTTGCACCTTCCACTGACATGCCAGCCTCCAGACACTTTCGGTAGCGACAGGCCTTGCACACATTGCGCGTCAGCATGCTTATCTCACACTTGTCATCCTTGGAACATTTGTATGAGTGCCATTCACGCTCTTTAGCCATTCGCCGAAAGAAGCCCTGTAGCACAAGAAGCAGAGACAGTTAGCACGGGTGGGGATGGGGTACAATCTGCAGTGATCAGAATTCAAGACCAAAGACAAGAACACTGTATCTGCAAATCTGGAAGGAAGGTCTGAGAGAGTACATGAGTGAGTGTTTATGACGCAGTATTTTAGCTCTATTATAACTTCCTGTAACTAATCCTGTATTCACTAGGTAAACTTGTCAGCATACAATGACCTGTTCAGCGACAAAACCCCACAGCATACAATGACCCGTTCAGCTACACAACGCCTAGGCATACAATGACCTGTTCAGCGACACAACCCCTCAGCATACAATGACCTGTACAGCGACGAATCCCTCAGCATGTACAATGACCCGTTCAGGTACACAAGCCCATGACATACAATGTCCTGTTCAGATGCAGCCCCCCTCAACGTACAATGACCTGTTCAGCCACACAACAACTCAGCATACAATGACCTGTTCAGCGACACAACAACTCAGCAAACAATGAGCCGTTCAGATACACAACCCCTCAGCATACAATGACCTGTTTAGCGACACAACCACTCTGCAATACAATGACCTGTTCAGCTTCAGAACCCCACAGCATACAATGACTTGTTCAGCAACACAACCCCACAGCATACACTGCCCTGTTCAGATACAGCACCCTTCAGCATAAAATGACCTGTTCAGATACACAACCACTCAGCATACGATGACCTGTTCAGCTACACAACCCCACAGCATACAATGACCTGTTCAGCGACACAACCCCACAGCATACACTGTCCTGTTCAGATACAGCACCCCTCAGCATACAATGACCTGTTCAGCGACACAACCACTCAGCAATACAATGACCTGTTCAGCTTCAGAACCCCACAGCATACAATGACCTGTTCAGCTACACAAGCCCACAGCATACAATGACCTGTTCAGCTACACAAGCCCACAGCATACAATGATCTGTTCAGCTTCACAAGCCCACAGCATGCAATGACCCGTTCAGCTACACAAGCCCATGACATACAATGTCCTGTTCATATACACCACCCCTCAGCATACAATGACCTGTTCAGCGACACAACCACTCAGCAATACAATGACCTGTTCAGCTCCAGAACCCCACAGCACACAATGACCTGTTCAGCCCAACAGAGTGCAGTATGGACTGAACATCACACAGCGGTCAGTCTTCCTCCAGAAACCTGATCTGATCCTTGTTGGCCTGGAGTACTTGCAGCTAACTAATATGGAACAGGACGAGATATATAAAAGCTGACAACCCTCCTTCAGTTATGAGTTCATTCTGGAAAGAAGAAGCATCACCTGTGTGGCAACAATGGCAGAAACACAAAGAAGGATTTTGATTTCTTGAAACCAAATGTTCTCTACGGTAATCTGAACTAGTAACAGCTAGGGGTGGGTATTGCAGAGAATTTTCATATTGCGATTGATTGCGATGTGAAAGCATATATTGCGATATGCATTTTAATATACTGCAAGAAGTATTTCTAAATAAAAAAACTACTTATAATAGAGTTAATGCTTGATTTATAGAGCATTAACACGACAAAATCACTATGCTTTATTAAGCTTTAATAAAAACTTTTAATCATGACAAAATAAAAATGTAAATAATATTTGGCACAAATGAAAGAAGGAAATATCCGAAGATTTCTGAGTGTTATGAAGTTTTCCGAATGCAAGTCAAAATACCAGTTTTCGATCAGCGTATCGCAATGCATATCGTTTTCATGTCTGAACCGGTAAATACGGGTAAACCGGTTATATTGCGCACCCCTAGTAACAGCACATACAGAAGAACAAAACAAAGATCATTCAACTTGTCTAAATAAGTAATTTCTTTGATGACTGTCATGTGTCATGAAACCGACACAACACAGAAATTTGTAGATATATAGCATGGAAAATATTGACATTGTGTGACAAATAAGGATTAATCAGCGTGTTGACATGCACTTGGTGGAAGTAGAGAAAATTGCACACCTAACTGCCTGGTTGCAATAAAGAGAACAGTCTATGGTGGAATCTTCAGCTACACTTGGCATTTATACATCACCCTTCCATGAGCAGTCTGTTTTCCAACACAGAAGATGTGCAAAGATAACACTACACTATCCCCTGCTGTCACCAAGATACATTTTGGAATACATCTGTAAACAGAACACAGTAAACAGTATCTAGTTGGGTGGAGTTTCATTAATCTATATGTGACAAGTGCATGCTCATACCTTACAACCCTCACAAGTGAGGGCGCCGAAATGAAAGCCAGATGACGATCCACCACAGACACGGCAAGGAATGTTAGATATACGAGCCACAACGTCCTTCACATGGCTGTCCCCTGAAACACAGAGTCAGTGAGTATGGTTTTACGCTGCTTTTAGCAATATTCCAGCAACATCCCAGTGGGTAACACCAGAAATGGGCTTCACATATTGTATCCATGTAGGGAATCGAACTTGGACATTCAGCGGGACGAGCAAAGACTTTTAAGGTCACATGCAACCCAAAAATCAAACATAATTAAAACACAATTATCACTTATTCATGACATATAATATGCATTGCTGATTATGAAAAAACAAATCAACAAAATTATAAGCGTATAATCGCAAATCAAAAGTGTAATATTTTGTACTTGGGTTTACCTCCCTCGAAACGAAGCAGCCGGGATACCGAACCCAGTCAGAGCCGGTGGGTGTGCACTCAAGTGTAACGGCTGGTTCATTAGCAGATGCTGCCTTCACGGCTCATTGTGTGTGTATATATAGAGATGTTGGGTTTTGTAAATACATGCTCATTTTTTGTGTATAACATTTTGCAATCAACAGACATCATAACATGTCATGTGTTCAAGTATCACACCTGCCTGTCTGTGTAATTACATAATGTGACAGAGACCGGACTCAGGCCATAAATCAATGTGTTTTGTTTATGGTGTATAGCCTGATTGGTGTTCGAATTGCATGTGGTCAGTGATTGCAGTTGTGTATTGAATATTGTCATTAGCAGACAGGCAGGCAGACACACAGGTGTCAATAAAACAAGACATTGAGTTTTGTCTGTGACAACGACATATCTATATCACAGTTAGAAATTGTGTCAACGCTAAATAATGACATTGCTTTTAAGTATCGAACTGAGAAAGTGTCTCGGTAAGAAGAACGTGTGGTGAAATAGACAAATGAAATTATATAAACAGTTAATTTACTGTCATAACATATAAAAAGTTCGCGCCTGTGAGATATCAACAAAACATTAGAAAAATAGCTCACACCAAAGCCTTCAGCGAGTATTCACCCGACAACCCGCTTCCAAGCTGCGCGAACCTATTTACTTGCGCATGTGCTATGAGCGCAGCCCAGCTGTTGAAACCCGTTTTCCCCAGAAAAGTCTGGGGAAAATTAGTGAAACGTTTGAACTCTGATTTCGCGCGTTTTTTTTCATCGTGTTATTTTTCAACTTTATAAGTTGAATTTGCATTTTTGACGATTTGTTTCGGTATGTCCATACCGAAAGGTATCAGAATCTGCAAAGTTGTGTTTTACGTTGCATGTGACCTTTAACCACTAGACTACCCCACTGCCCTGAGAGGAACAGAGGGAGATACAGAGGGGGAAATGTGACTTTCATCAGAACATCAGAGGTATTTTGATGCTACAAAAGATATGGCAAGCATTTACAGCTCAAATTTTCTTTACATAAATGAATTGTTTTAATCTATTTGCTTTGGTAGACAATCACATTCCCCATGCCTACCTCACCAAGCCTTAGTGGCTTTCAAGCTGGATCTGTGAATTGTTTGTATTTGTTTTTCAAATTTATCAGAACCATTAACAGGAAAAGGCTTATATGTGTGAAAAGGCTTTAAATGGTAATTTCACCATTTTGAATTGAATGATATATTGAAATGCACAAAATTTAAGAAAATATAGACCTAAAGAAAATCCAAATTTTCAACAAAATTAAACGCGTTCTTTTAAATGTGTGTACCAAAGGCATTAGTTTGGCATCATTAAATCACAAACAGATGAGGGGATGCCAAAGGAAAAGGTGCGGCCTTACTAATTATTACATACAAATGTAGTAGCTCTTACTTCATACCAATAATATTAACGGGAACAGGACTAACACTGACAACTGTTTTCATACTTCATAGATAAAGATGTATACATTTGTACTTGTTTGTAAGGCCAGACCAATTTTATTTCTTGTTTTACGGATCTGCCAGTCATATTTTTACAAGAATAAGAAAAAGGATCCCTGCTCACAAAAATAAAATCCTCATAATTTTATTTGCCAAATATGTAAACTGACAAGAAATTATTTTTAATATTGATTTTTGCCCCATATACACTCCATAAATTGACAATAGTATAATACTTTTAGTATTTAAAAGGCATATTACTTTGAGGTGATTTCTCTACTGGGTACCCATTCACTACTGAGAGAACTGAGGTATATTTTGAAGAAGATAACTGGCCTTGCCATGTGTTATATGTATTTCAGTGTTGGGTCTCTCAGGGGTAGGTGAAAGGCACCATCACCCATTCGACGACTCTTGCAGTTATAAGCCATCATATTGTTTCATATGATATACGTCTATTTAAACAGGCCCCTGTTTTATTGTCTCCCCTTCATCTCAGCATTTTGGTTTAGAATTTCAACGACACACAGGGATTGGGAAAGGCAGGGGCCATGAGACATTTTGCACATTAGAATAAAAAAGGACCTATTAAAATTTTGAAGTTTACTATTGATACAAGGGCAGCGGCACATTCTTAATTCAGAAAATGGCTAATAATCATGAAAATGGCCCATTGTCAGAGTTCTCTATCCCAATCCCTGGACACTGGCACTTTCTGTCCTGAAGATTTTGCTCACACTCATTATTTACCTCACTGAACTGGCATCTTATGTAGCCACTGATGAGTTGTCATGACAACATGCAAATGAATTACGGAAAGGGAAAGGAAAGACATCTTGACTTCCCTAGGTGCTGCTACATCTGCCATTACATAGGAAATGAGAAAAGTCCATCATAATGAAATCAATTTCTTTCCACGACATCTGCCTATATGTTGCATCTGACAAACACCATCTCATCCCAGTCAGGGCATTGACAGAGTCATTGTCGGAAGACAAAATCAACTCCCGAACCTTCTGACCAGAGAGTCAACTGGAGAGTACCATTAACTAAGAGACACATTTGGGTGATGGAAAATCCTGTCTAATCAGGGCCACATTAGGGTGATGGAAAATCCTGTCTAATCAGGGCCACATTAGGGTGATGGAAAGGGGTGATGGAAAATCCTGTCTAATCAGGGCCACATTTGGGTGATGGAAAATCCTGTCTAATCAGGGCGACGTTAGGGTGATGGAAAATCCTGTCTAATCAGGGCCACATAAGGGTGATGGAAAATCCTGTCTAATCAGGGCCACATTTGGGTGATGGAAAATCCTGTCTAATCAGGGCCACATTAGGGTGATGGAGAGTCCTTTCTAATCAGGGCCACATTAGGGTGATGGAGAGTCCTTTCTAATCAGGGCCACATTAGGGCAATGGAAAATCCTGTCTATTACAAGGCAGATGAGGCTGGATGTTACCTGGGCTGTACATGTCGAGAGAAAGGCACTTTTGGTAGCGGCAATGCTGGCAACGAACACGCGTTTCTCTTGTGATTACACAATCTTCTGATTTGTGACACACAAACTTCACCTTCTCTTGGCGTGATGCTCGCACAAAGAATTTCTGAAAAGGAAATGATAAATTACATGGAAATGTGTATTATGTTGTTATACCACGATTATTGTTATGTCCTCACAACTAGAGGGGATTATCAACTTTATCAGCTGTTTCATCCATGACAATTTCCTGACTGCGGTGGGGTAGCCTAAGCATTTAATCATCACGTCCGAAGACCCAGGTTCAATTCCCCGCATGGGTACAATGTGTGAAACCTATTCCTGGTGTCCCCTGCCGTGATATTGCTGGAATATTGCTAAAAGCAGCGTAAAATTAGACTCACTCACTCCTGACTGAAGAGATTTGATTTGTCGAGCCCCCACTAGTCACGTGAGTAAGATGTCTGTTAATGCCGCATCCTGAGGTGTATCAATACCTGTTACAGGGACAGATATTACCACTAGTCACGTGAGTAAGATGTCCGTTAATGCCGCGTCCTGAAGTGTATCAATACCTGTTACAGGGACAGATACTACCACTAGTCACTTGAGTAAGATGTCCGTTAATGCCGAGCCCTGAGGCTTTTCAATACCTGTTACAGGGACAGATACTACCACTAGTCACGTGAGTAAGATGTCCGTTAATGCTGCGTCCTGAGGTGTATCAATACCTGTTACAGGGACAGATATTACCACTAGTCACGTGAGTAAGATGTCCATTAATGCTGCGTCCTGAGGTGTATCAATACCTGTTACAGGGACAGATACTACCACTAGTCACGTGAGTAAGATGTCCGTTAATGCTGCGTCCTTCAGGTGTATCAATACCTGTTACAGGGACAGATACTACCACTAGTCACGTGAGTAAGATGTCCGTTAATGCTGCGTCCTGAGGTGTATCAATACCTGTTACAGGGACAGATACTACCACTAGTCACGTGAGTAAGATGTCCGTTAATGCCGAGCCCTGAGGCTTTTCAATACCTGTTACAGGGACAGATACTACCACTAGTCACGTGAGTAAGATGTCCGTTAATGCTGCGTCCTTCAGGTGTATCAATACCTGTTACAGGGACAGATATTATCACTAGTCACGTGAGTAAGATGTCCGTTAATGCTGCGTCCTGAGGTGTATCAATACCTGTTACAGGGAGGGACAGATAAGACTACCACTAGTTACGGAGTACTAGATGTCAGCGTGAGTAATGTCCGTTAATGCTCGTCCTTCAGGTGTATCAATACCTGTTACAGGGACAGATACTACCAATAGTAACGTGAGTAAGACGTCCGTTAATGCTGCGTCCTGAGGTGTATCAATACCTGTTACAGGGACAGATACTACCACTAGTCATGTGGGTAAGATGTCTGTTAATGCTGCATCCTGAGGTGTATCAATACCTGTTACAGGGACAGATATTACCACTAGTCACGTGAGTAAGATGTCTGTTAATGCTGCATCCTGAGGTGTATCAATACCTGTTACAGGGACAGATATTACCACTAGTCACGTGAGTAAGATGTCCGTTAATGCTGCGTCCTGAGGTGTATCAATACCTGTTACAGGGACAGATATTACCACTAGTCACGTGAGTAAGATGTCCGTTAATGCTGCATCCTGAGGTGTATCAATACCTGTTACAGGGACAGATATTACCACTAGTCACGTGACGTGAGTAAGATGTCCGTTAATGCTGCGTCCTGAGGTGTATCAATACCTGTTACAGGGACAGATATTACCACTAGTCACGTGAGTAAGATGTCCGTTAATGCTAATGCTGTTACGATACCACCACTAGTCACGCGAGAGTCATCCTGAGGTGTATCAATACCTGTTACAGGGACAGATACTACCACTAGTCACGTGAGTAAGATGTCCGTTAATGCTGCGTCCTTCAGGTGTATCAATACCTGTTACAGGGACAGATACTACCACTAGTCACGTGAGTAAGATGTCCGTTAATGCTGCGTCCTGAGGTGTATCAATACCTGTTACAGGGACAGATACTACCACTACCACTAACACCAGAAATGTTCTTCACACATTGTACCCATGTGGGGAATCGAACCTGAGCCTTCGGTGTTACGAGCTAACGCTTTAACCACTAGGCTACCCCACCGCCCCTTGACAGTAATGAGGTCACTGGTCAGTGTTGTGTGTAAATACAATACTGTCATCATGGTCAAAACATTTCTGTTATTATATCAGTCCACTGTTGACTTGTTATTGTATTTGTTACCTAATTTACATACTCATCACCCAGTATTCATCATACGTATCGGATTTACCTCACAGCGGACACCTTGCAACCCAGAGAAACAGTATGAAGTAAGACAGGGAGACAGGATCTTATCAGACGGAGCAGGAGTCATCAAAGATGACAAATCCCCCCCAAAATTTGAAAGAACAAATTTAACGAACAACTTAACGTCCAGCTTGATGAGAGAATTTCTGTCTAGTCTGTCCATCCATAATCAACAGTAGTTATTGAGCTATCAAAACAATAACATTGAATCAGGATTAGTAACTTTGTGCTTCTATGTCAGGTACACACGAATATCAAAATCAAAGGAAAAAAATACAAACTTAAAAATCCCTAACAGCAAAAGGCAGCAGTTGACCACCTGGTTTCATGAACGAATACCAAAAAGTTTTAGAGAGATGATCCAGCAAACACAACACTACGAACAGAGTCAAAGTCAAACGTATTGCCATGGAAACAGGAAACAAATTCATTTTCTTAAAATTCCTAACTAGCAAAAGGCAACACTTCAGCCCATGGTTAATACATGCTATTCATTCGCACCACTTCGGGATCTGTTTGATATATCTGCCAAGTTTTGTTGAAAGATATTGAATGGTTTTTGAGTCGTGCTCGGGAAATGACACCTACGACCATTTCAGCTGAGTCAGACTAAGTATTTCCATGGAAACAAGGAAAAAGCAAGTTTTGAAAAATTCCTAAATAACAAAAGGCACCACTTCAGCCCTTGGTTAATACATGGTTTTCAAGTTGTGCTCTCGAAACGAAATCCACCTCCTCCTTTTGAAACCAAATCCAAATTGTTTCCATGGAAATCGAGAAAAATAAAAATGCCAAAATATAAATCTGTAAATAGCAAAAGGCAGTACTTCAGGTTCTGTTTGATATATCTACCAACTTTTGTTGTAAAATATTGATCGGGTTTTTTTTAGTTATGCTCTGGAAACAAAATGATTATGACAGATAAGGCATTGACTATATGCCCCCCCAACATTTTATGCCGAGGGATGATAATTTTGTTTTAATGACGTTCTAACTGATCAATGCCAAAACTCAAGCATTATATATAATTTAATACTGCCCCTTGGCAGAAAGTGCCCCTTGGTTTTGTCTGCAAGTAGATTTCATTTCCTAAAATTAAGCCCTGGCAATCACAATAGGAAATAGACTGACTGACTGTGTTTGGTTTTACGCCGCTTTTAGCAATATTCCAGCAACATCACAGCGGGGAATAGGAATTAGAAGACTCAAAATGGTACTTTATACTGCTGAATTTTTCTCCAGAAATCACTGATTTGTTGATGAGAAAAATATATACTGAGTTACCCATGAGATAAATGTATCTTTTGTCATCTCCAGACATATCAGGCAAACACTGATGAGGCCGAGAATTGGAAGACAAATGTAAGTCAATGTTTTTCTGATGAAGCTGAAGAAAGAATCACATCAAGTTCTGGACAAGATGGATGTACAATTCAGTCTGAGAGTATCACAGATAATGCAATCATATCACTGCCACAATAATCTTGGTATTTCCACAATCACACCTGAACTTGAACTGGTGAAAGACAGTCATGGACAGAAACAGACCCCATCTGTACATTTCCCTGAATGATCTGGCACCGGTGAAGGTCCAAACCTTGACATCAGAAATATGTATCATAAATCATATCCGATGACGACTTGTCACACTGAAGACTATATGCTAAGGGACTGGCCTCTGCCTACTTGGAGTCCCATCACTGTCGTGCGAGACAAAGCGAGATTTGTTGAGTTACCTGCGAGGGTTTCGTGAATTGATTTAATCACCTGCTGAAGGCTTTACATACTTACAATCTTTGGGTTTGTTAATTTTCTTGATTTGTTAGAGAATATCTATTACATTTACGTAATATGGTCTCTCTCGGTTTATGGTCACTGCCCCACAAATGTCCAACATACCACTTGCAATCCTAGATCGTTAATGATAATCCCATCCCTCAGTGTATGGTCTCTGCACCACAAATGTCCAACATACCACTTGCAATCCTAGATCGTTAATGATAATCCTGTCCCTCGGTATATGGTCTCTGCCCCACAAATGTCCAACATACCACTTGCAATCCTAGATCGTTAATGATAATCCTGTCCCTCGGTATATGGATAATCCCATCTCTCGGTATATGGTCTCTGCCCCTTACAAATGTCCAACATACCAGTTGCAATCCTAGATGGTTAATGATAATCCATCCCTCTATATGGTCTCTGCCCCACAAATGTCCAACATACCACTTGCAATCCTAGATCGTTAATGATAATCCTGTCCCTCGGTGTATGGTCTCTGCCCCACAAATGTCCAACATACCACTTGCAATCCTAGATCGTTAATGATAATCCTGTCCCTCGGTATATGGTCTCTGCCCCACAAATGTCCAACATACCAGTTGCAATCCTAGATCGTTAATGATAATCCCATCCCTCGGTGTATGGTCTCTGCCCCACAAATGTCCAACATACCAGTTGCAATCCTAGATCGTTAATGACAATCCCATCCCTCGGTATATGGTCTCTGCCCCACAAATGTCCAACATACCACTTGCAATCCTAGATCGTTAATGATAATCCTGTCCCTCGGTATATGGTCTCTGCCTCACAAATGTCCAACATACCACTTGCAATCCTAGATCGTTAATGATAATCCTGTCCCTCGGTATATGGTCTCTGCCCCACAAATGTCCAACATACCAGTTGCAATCCTAGATCGTTAATGATAATCCTGTCCCTCGGTGTATGGTCTCTGCCTCACAAATGTTCAACATACCACTTG